TTACATGTAAACCAGTATAAAGCAACTTAATAGGGATTTGTACATGTAAACCAGTATAATGCAACCTAATAGGGATTTTTCCATGTAAACCAGTATAATGCAACTTAATAGATATTTTTCCATGTAAACCAGTATAATGCAACCTAATAGGGATTTTTCCATGTAAACCAGTATAATGCAACCTAATAGGTTGCATTATACCACCAGACCAAGACCCAAACGAAGACTCAGACCACCACCAGATAATGACCACAGACCAGGTTTCCTTAGTTACAGGAACCAAATTGTTTCAGCGGTGAGGGGATTTTTCAGTTTCAAGGACACTTTCAATACATTCAGTAGTTTCAAGGATTTCAACTGTTTAAGAATTTAACCAGTTTCAAGGATATCAGGAGGTTCAAGGATTTCAGGAGTTTCCACACTTTCAACAGTTTCCAGGTTTAAAAAAGTTTCAAGGATTTCAGGAGTCTCAATGTTTCAACAGTTTCAAGGATTTCAGGAGTTTAAAGGTTTCAACAATTTCAAGGACTTCAGGAGTTTCAAATATCTATCAAGTATTTTAACAGTTTCAAGGCCTTCAAGGATTTTTTTTAGCAGATTTCCACATTAGATCTGTTCCGCAGTCAATCGCAATGGCTTCAGCCATTGCAAGTTTCTAGTTGCTATTACTTTTGGGACTTCAGCGATTTCCGGTTTTTCCGCAATCGGACAAAAATCGGTCGATTTTTCCCATTGACTTATAATGGGGCTTCCACAAATTCATAGTTTTCAGAATTTTCTTCAACATTTTCAGCATTTTCTGCAGTTTGTGCATGTTCAGCTTCCACAACTTGTGAGTTTTCAGAAAAAAATAGAGTTCTGCAGTTTTCCAGTTTTTTTCTACGGGACTTGGGAATTCTGCCATTAATTTGCATTGAGAATTCTGCAATGCATTTTAATAGGCCCATGCATTTTAATAGGACTTCAGCTCTTTCAGACATTTCTACAGTTTCAATGATTCAACAGTTTCAATGATTCAACAGTTTCAAGGACTTCAGCAGTTTCAAGGTTTCAAGAGTTTCAAAGACTTCAACAGTTTCAAGGACTTCACCAGTTTCAAGGACTTCAGTGTAATCATGCAACCTAATAGGGATTTTTCCATGTAAACCAGTATAATGCAACTTAATAGGGTTTTTTTCATGTAAACCAGTATAATGCAACTTAATGGGGATTTTTCCATGTAAACCAGTATAATGCAACTTAATAGGGATTTTTCCATGTAAACCAGTATAATGCAACTTAATAGGGGTTTTTACATGTAAACCAGTATAATGCAACTTAATAAGGATTTTTACATGTAAACCACTATAATGTAACCTAATAGGGGTTTTTACATGTAAACCAGTATAAAGCAACTTAATAGGGATTTGTACATGTAAACCAGTATAATGCAACCTAATAGGGATTTTTCCATGTAAACCAGTATAATGCAACTTAATAGATATTTTTCCATGTAAACCAGTATAATGCAACCTAATAGGGATTTTTCCATGTAAACCAGTATAATGCAACCTAATAGGGATTTTTCCATGTAAACCAGTATAATGCAACCTAATAGGTTGCATTATACCACCAGACCAAGACCCAAACGAAGACTCAGACCACCACCAGATAATGACCACAGACCAGGTTTCCTTAGTTACAGGAACCAAATTGTTTCAGCGGTGAGGGGATTTTTCAGTTTCAAGGACACTTTCAATACATTCAGTAGTTTCAAGGATTTCAACTGTTTAAGAATTTAACCAGTTTCAAGGATATCAGGAGGTTCAAGGATTTCAGGAGTTTCCACACTTTCAACAGTTTCCAGGTTTAACAAAGTTTCAAGGATTTCAGGAGTTTCAATGTTTCAACAGTTTCAAGGATTTCAGGAGTTTAAAGGTTTCAACAATTTCAAGGACTTCAGGAGTTTCAAATATCAAGTATTTTAACAGTTTCAAGGCCTTTTAAAGGATTTCAAGGATTTTTTTTAGCAGATTTCCACATTAGATCTGTTCCGCAGTCAATCGCAATGGCTTCAGCCATTGGTTTCTAGTTGCTATTACTTTTGGGACTTCAGCGATTTCCGGTTTTTCTGCAATCGGACAAAAATCGGTCGATTTTTCCCATTGACTTATAATGGGGCTTCCACAAATTCATAGTTTTCAGAATTTTCTTCAACATTTTCAGCATTTTCTGCAGTTTGTGCATGTTCAGCTTCCACAACTTGTGAGTTTTCAGAAAAAAATAGAGTTCTGCAGTTTTCCAGTTTTTTTCTACGGGACTTGGGAATTCTGCCATTAATTTGCATTGAGAATTCTGCAATGCATTTTAATAGGCCCATGCATTTTAATAGGACTTCAGCTCTTTCAGACATTTCTACAGTTTCAGACATTTCTACAGTTTCAATGATTCAACAGTTTCAATGATTCAACAGTTTCAAGGACTTCAGCAGTTTCAAGGTTTCAAGAGTTTCAAGGACTTCAACAGTTTCAAGGACTTCACCAGTTTCAAGGACTTCAGTGTAATCATGCAACCTAATAGGGATTTTTCCATGTAAACCAGTATAATGCAACTTAATAGGGGTTTTTACATGTAAACCAGTATAATGCAACTTAATGGGGATTTTTCCATGTAAACCAGTATAATGCAACTTAATAGGGGTTTTTACATGTAAACCAGTATAATGCAACTTAATAGGGTTTTTTCCATGTAAACCAGTATAATGCAACTTAATAGGGATTTTTCCATGTAAACCAGTATAATGCAACTTAATAGGGTTTTTTTCATGTAAACCAGTATAATGCAACTTAATGGGGATTTTTCCATGTAAACCAGTATAATGCAACTTAATATGGGTTTTTACATGTAAACCAGTATAATGCAACTTAATAGGGTTTTTTTCCATGTAAACCAGTATAATGCAACTTAATAGGGATTTTTCCATGTAAACCAGTATAATGCAACTTAATAGGGATTTTTCCATGTAAACCAGTATAATGGAACTTAATAGGGGTTTTTACATGTAAACCAGTATAATGCAACTTAATATGGGTTTTTACATGTAAACCAGTATAATGCAACTTAATAGGGTTTTTTTTACATGTAAACCAGTATAATGGAACTTAATAGGGTTTTTTACATGTAAACCAGTATAATGGAACTTAATAGGGGTTTTTACATGTAAACCAGTATAATGGAACTTAATAGGGGTTTTTACATGTAAACCAGTATAATGCAACTTAATAGGGATTTTTACATGTAAACCAGTATAATGGAACTTAATAGGGTTTTTTACATGTAAACCAGTATAATGGAACTTAATAGGGGTTTTTACATGTAAACCAGTATAATGCAACTTAATAGGGATTTTTACATGTAAACCAGTATAATGCAACTTAATAGGGATTTTTCCATGTAAACCAGTATAATGCAACTTAATAGGGTTTTTTACATGTAAACCAGTATAATGCAACTTAATAGGGATTTTTACATGTAAACCAGTATAATGGAACTTAATAGGGTTTTTTACATGTAAACCAGTATAATGGAACTTAATAGGGATTTTTCCATGTAAACCAGTATAATGCAACTTAATAGGGTTTTTTACATGTAAACCAGTATAATGCAACTTAATGGGGATTTTTCCATGTAAACCAGTATAATGCAACTTAATAGGGGTTTTTACATGTAAACCAGTATAAAGGATAACAGTTTAAAGGATATCAGGAGCTTCAAATACTTCAGGAGTTTCAAAGATGTTTAAAGTATTTTAACAGTTTCAAGGATTTCAAGGATTTTTCAGCTAAATTCCACATTAGATCTGTTCCGCAGTCAATCGCAATGGCTTCAGCCATTGCAAGTTTCTAGTTGTTATTATAATTGTTATTATAATTATTATTATTTACATTTCCTCTCTCACTTAAATTGGATATCTGAACAAACTATACACATTATATCCAAGATTACAATCAGGTACTGGGAAAGAAGGAAAGAAAAAGAATATATATAACGTTGTGTTTATACAATAAATGAACAAATCAAATATACATAACATAGAGAACAACAGGGCAGACAAGAAGTGGGCCCGATGTGGGGTATCTCCCACCTCATCGGCCCCACAAATTTCTTGTTTTTTTAATGCACCTCACAGGACTGACAAGAGGACAAGCAGGGCCTGTTGAGTGAGCCCGTCTCGCAGCACGCTCTGCTTTTCATTATTATTATGATTTGTTTGTTTGTTTTTGTTAATATTAATTATTGATTTATTATTATTGTCATTTATTCTACTATTATTATTTTTCACCAAAGCCCAGCAAGATAAAATTAGCAATGGGTAATGATTGTAGCAATGACGATGATAATAGCGATAGCGATGATGATGTGTATATATATAAACCCCTTTTATTATTAATATATATATATTTATTTTTTTTAGTAAAATATATAGACTCATTTGACCACATTCGACATAGCACTTATGCACCCCTGCATTGCATACACATTCACATACATATACAGAAACTCCGCAAACCAAGGCAGAACTGAAACAATAAAAAACGCAACCCGAATAATTTTATTTTATTTTTTTTACTCTCCCCCTCCCCCTCCCACCTTAACACCTACTGTATTTGTAAACCGTATATATTAGATTTCGAATATAATTTTGTTTTATTTCTTTCTTTTATGTTTTCATTCTTGTAATTGTATTAAAATGTAATAGTTAATAAAAAAAAAAAAAAAAAAAAATCTATTGTTTATTGCTCTTTTTCATCTCTTTGATGTGTTATCATAATATTGTCTTAAATCCAGGCATATAAGGACTGATCAATCAGCAGCCTTTTGTGCCCAAAATGGACTTGAGCCAGAGGAGCAAGAGTGAGGACAGACCAGCACTCTTTGGTTACCGGGTTGTTGCCATCTCTGAATTTGGCAGTAAACCTAATGTGTCTGTGAGTCAGCTCTAATGGGCTGTTAGCTCTCACCTTCATCATCTTGGAGACGTCCCAGATGCAGACACGGCCCCTCCTAGTGGCAGCGGCGAGGTACTGTGGACAGGAGCCGTAGCCGTAGCAGCAGATGCGGTCGCAGGGGTCAGAAGGGTGAGGCAGCTGGGACGGAGCTGTGGCCAGAGTCACCGACAGAGGAACGTTCTGAGTGTGTTCTCCTTTTACAAAGGGACAGTTGGGGGAGTGTCGCTCATGCTCAGACCTGAGGAAAAGAGGAGACATGTGAAAGAGGGATAGAGAGGAGGGGATCGGGGAGAGAGAGTGTTGTGGTTCTGACCAGGGTTCGTCTGTGGGCTCCCAGCAGACCAGGCACACGCTGCAGGTGAAACACATGGCACGATCGTCCCCTGTGGAGGCCGGCTACACACACACACACACACACACACACACACAGTGTCATTAACCCTTGTAGTCTCAGATCCTCCTGTCTGTTCCTGTTCAAACCAGTACCTGGTGGTAGAACCCTGCCTGGGCCATGGGGTCCGGCTGAGCCCACCTGTACCCAGCATGAGGCCACGAAGTGAAGGTCTCTCTACGGTTCGCCTCACTGTACATCAGGGACCTGGACACACACACACAGCAACACAACAATTAGCAACACTCTCTCTCTGGCCTCTCTCTGGCCTCTCTCTGGCCTCTCTCTGGCCTCTCTCTGGCCTCTCTCTGGCCTCTCTCTGGCCTCTCTCTGGCCTCTCTCTGGCCTCTCTCTGGCCTCTCTCTGGCCTCTCTCTGGCCTCTCTCTGGCCTCTCTCTGGCCTCTCTCTGGCCTCTCTCTGGCCTCTCTCTGGCCTCTCACCTGTCCACAGATCTCCCTGGTCCCACCCCCAGCTCTGGTCTGGCACTGGTGAGCAGGTAGCTGAGTCGGTCCAGGATGGAGGAGGCAACAGAGAGTGCGGCCACGTTCTGGTTCATCTTCTTCAGCTCGTTGACCACTGCAGTGGCCACCAGCTTCAGCACGTGATGAGGAAGACGGAAGAGCACCGTTGCCCACTGCAAGACACAAAGAGAACAGCAGCAAGTTAGGACATATGTAGGCGTTATTCTAATGAGTTATATCTCTGTAGATTGGATCAGTGCAATGATTGGTGGAGTCATGTGACGGTGACGTAAGGGGAAGAAAGGAAAAGAGAAAATTATACTTTAATAAAGTGTCTTCTGTTTGAAAGAATCCATCCTGCTGTTTTATTACAGTGAGAGCCATCGTTCTATCACCACGAACCCTCATGTTACGCTGGTCTAGACTGGCCTGTCTCTCTGGCCGCTCTCTCTGGTCTCTCTCTCTCTCAATCTTCTTTCTCTAATCTCTCTTCTTTGGGACTTTCTAAACCAACGGGATATTCACAAGTGTATTGGTCAGAAATATCAGTTATAGATCTGTGTATGCGCCTGTGTCAGTCTATCTGTGTGTGTGCGTGCGTCTGAGCTGGGCCCAGAGCTGAGGAGTAGCTTTCTCTTCAGTCTGGATCTGCTCCAGATGAAGGAGTCACACTCACTGAGCAGAATGTCAAGTACGGAGGCTCAGAGAAACACTGCTCCATCAAAGACTGGACTCAGACCAAGGGGGAGAGGGGGAGAAGGCAGGAGAGGGACACTAGTGACCCCTCCAGCTACTGCTCAGAACAGCAGCACTAGAACAGGTCAGGGGTCACAGGTCAAGAGTCACAGGTCAAGAGTCCTCACACAGCACAGTGGTGTTGGTTTTGATAAAACAGGAAACTTGTCTGTGATGAAATGAGATAAATCAGACCCGTTGTGATGTTACTATAACAGGAGTTTATCAGCCAGGTCTGTACAGAACTGACGCTCACTTAGTGCTCAGATTCAGATTCATTTATTTGCCATTTGCAGTAAAACCACATTGGAAAAACTGTGCAAGACTACCCCGGTGTGCACCAGACGACACACACCAGAGCTCTTGCCACGGCGCCATCTTTACGGCGCCATGCGAAAGAGAGACACACCAAGCCTCGAGGCTCACTTGGTGCTCGAGGCTCACTTGGTGCTCGAGGCTCACTTGGTGCTCGAGGCTCACTTGGTGTTCGAGGCTCACCTTGGCCACCTTGTGGTTGGCAGCGGTCTCGTGGGAGGAGTTCTTGAGTCCTTCTTTGAGCTGAGAGATGAACAGGTCGTATCCCTCTGTGTTAGAGACGTCAATCTTCTCCTGACAGGCCGACAGCAGCTGCTGCGCCTACACACAGACACACACATGTTAGTCAATAAGAAAAACACACACGTTAGTAACTAGGAACACACACAGACACACACGTTAGTCACTAGGAACACACATCCTGCCGCGTAGCGTATCTGTTCTGTTCCACTCTGGAGGCTTCACCTTGAAGCACTAGGAATTCAACACTCTCAGAAACAATGCCATGAAAAGATACACAAAACTGATGCTGGACTTTTAATAACTTGGGTACCTTAATTTCACTTTGCATTAACAATGCATGCTGGTTGTGCAAACAACAGAAATGTTGTGGAAAAATCAAACAGAACACATCACAACAGGCTATCTTGTATTTTATTTTGCATACTTAAGAGCCCTGTGAGTCCTTATTTGACTTTTCACAGTTAGTGCCACTTTATTGCCAAACTCTTGTTAATCCGAGGAGACTCACCTCGGTGACAGGCAGCTCCAGTTGCACCTCCTCCTCAGCTTTACACACAGACGTCTGTAGAGCTGTGTCCAGCAGCAGGATCCCGTTCAGGTCTTTACGACATCCTACGGCCAAGTCGTCCACGAACAGGACCTTATCCACCGCTGCCATGTACTGGCAGCGCACACGGCCACCAGGGGTCGCTGTGGACGAAATGACAGGTCAGAGGTTGCAGGCAGACACAGGTCAGAGACACAGTTCGTTCACTTGTATCTGAGGCATTTCTCAAAATGAAATAATATTTTGTCCATGTCTCTCCTGCAGTTTTTTCAGATCAGTGGTTTAAATCTAAATTATAACAATAATCAGAAATTCTGTCTACTTCTGTCTACTCAGTCCTTTCTGTAGAGTCTCCTGTGAGAGTCTGTATGTGTCATGAAGGAGGCGGTTATTTCTCGCCAGTGTTTTAATTGAGTTTTGGAGCCTCAGTCCTTCACAGACGTCCAAAAAGCACAGGACAGTTTCATGTGACGTCAGGGAACTGGACAGCCGCAGCTTTCACCACACCACACACCAGAGCTATTATCACTGTCCCAGAGAGACCAGAGAGAGAGAGAGAGACCAGAGAGGCAAGAGAGAGAGAGAACAGAGCGAGAGAGACCAGAGAGACACCAGTGACAGGTTTAAGAACTACCTCAGTCCATATAGCTGCTAAATAACATCCGGTGATTGTGCAATTGTGTCAATGTTAATGTGTGTATTGTCTGTGTTTTATGTTATGTCTGTATTTGTGCTGATCCCTGCTCCAAGACACATTTCTCCTCTACTGGGACACAATATAATAAATTCATCTGAATCTAACAAAAGAGACACCAGAGAGAGAGACCAGAGAGAGACCAGACAGACCAGAGAGAGGCCACAATCTACAATAAAAACTCCTGAATCCAAAGCCTTTATGTTGTGACATGTTGAACATCATGTCGCATTTATAGTAGGAGTATCAGTAGTAGTATCAAAAGCAGTAGATAGATAGTTCATTGATCCCTGTAGGATAAATTCAAGTGTCCAGTAGCAGCAGAAACACATCCATCCATACAAACAAATTAAATAGATAAATATAAAGTTGCGAACAAGAGTATTAGTATTAAAATGCAACAGTAGTAGTAGTAGTTTCAGCAGAGATATTAGTTTATTTTCATCTGCCATTTAGAACATAGATCTAAGGCCATGTCTTTCAAAGAACTTATATTAGACAATAATAGAAAAACCCTGTGGTGGCGGTACGGTGGCTGAGTGGGTAGCACTCTCACTTCTCAGCAAGAAGGTTCTGGGGTCGAATCCCGGGGGGAACAGGGCCTTTCTGAGTGGGGTTTGCATGTTCTCCCCATGTCTGTGTAGGTTTCCTCTGGGTACTCTGGTTTCCCAAATCACTAAAAACATGAACAATATTCAGGTTGAATGAGTGTGTGTTTGTGAGTGTGAATGTGAGACGACGGATGCAAATTAGCTCATGGCTACAATCCGGAGTGATGTGTTCATTAACATGTACTGTCCCAACCAAATAAACAATATTAAGAATCTAGGAGCTGATGCCTGACACTGTCAAACTTCTTTTACAGTCTCAGTGACTCTTACACCATCGCTGGTGACATGTAATATTGTAATGGAGTTTCGCAAGTTACATAACTTATGTAGAGCCAACTTCCAAAGAATGAACTGAAGACAAACTGAAACTGAGGATGTGTGAGGGTACAACAGTCCAGAGTTTATTGCAAACATGGGCACACGTCTCCACATTAGAATATCAGCTACTGTCGCAAGCCGGACCTCATTTACAATGTTTTTTTTTTACACAAAAATATATTGATATACATATTATAGTGATATTATATATAGTGGCAGAGCAAGGAGTGAGACAATGGCTCCAGAGCTCTGCACAGAGCACAGAGGAATATTATAGTCTTTATAGTAGATCTATATAGACTGAGGAGGGCTCAGGGTCGGGCTTTGCCCACCGCTGATTTAATGTATAACATATAGATTTGTTTTATATGTTCTGTTTTGGGGGCGCTTGTAAGCTAATACAGCTTGCTGGGAGTTTCCTTTATTTAGTATTAGTAAAGTGTGTGAACTATTAGAGTTTTTGTTTTGTTTTTTAAATATAGAGAATTTAATATTTACATTATATCCAACATACCCCCCATGTAATACCCATGTATTACAACCTGCTTCAGTCCGGGTTCAAATCTGTCTAATAAAGCTATGTGGCATTTTTAGATGTGGTAAGAGCAATGCTTAATGACCACACTCCCAATAACCTTTGAAAAACAGAAAACACGGACAGCACATGGTCACAGCTGTAGCCAGTCTCCTCTCAGCCACCTGTCAAACTGCACAACAAATAGTATCATTCACATTGAGCAAATAACTCAACTATGAAAAGCTTTTACAGGATGTACTATCACTTATACCTTTGCAGAGCCTAGAATAACCGTTTCACACACAACATCGCGTTTTAACTCTATGCTACAGCCCTGAGTGGCCATTAGCCGCACACAAAGTGACAGCAGGCTAAGTGCTAACAGCTAACGCTAACCGTTAACCAACTGACAAGTCATTTCATATCACTGTCTGCGCTCCAAAACACCACACAGCCTTCACTTTTATCCACAACAAACACATACACGTTATTTACTTCACGTCACGGATCTTGTCATAGTCAAAATATACCAAAAATCTTGTTGTTGGTGTAAAGTCACAAGGCCTCGGCTAACGCTAGCTAACACATGAAGCTAGCGTTACAATTATATGCTGTTAAATGTATGTGTCGCTAAATATTCAGGTCATAATCATGTCATAACACTAGTTTCAGAGGCTGTAGATTGTAATTACGTTATTACAAAAAAAAGAGGTATTTTAATCACTTTAAAGCCACTAAACAGTACAAAATGACATGTTCCTCGTACATTGTTGGTTTTAGCTGTAACAAATAGTTTTAGCGCAGATTTAGGGCGTCACGATGTCACAAAGAAAGAGCAAAAGCAAAAGAGTTCGATGCTTTGAAGTCAGAGTCATTACAACTCAACAAGACATGCATCAGTGTGGTGTAATTTCCACAGGTCTTTTCCTCTTTCTGCTGCTGTCAGACTGCACAACGAACACTTCGGGCCCTGTGTATGTGCTGCCTCAATGAGTCCACTCACGATGAACTTATCATTATTCTGTTCATATAAACATTATGCATATAAACAGCCATATTTGCAAACAACAAGTCTCTATACTTGTAACAAGATTGTAATTACGTCATTATTATTGTTATTATCTATCTCTATCTTACAGTTAAGATAGAGATAGATACTTTATTGATCCCCCTTAGGAGAAATTCAGGCATGTTAGGCATATAAGCATGTAATAAGCCACGTGGTCCTGTGTAATAATGTTTTAACACTCAGTCTTCAGTCAGAGGTGTGTTTTTCTATTATCATTACAGTTAATGACCGTCTGTGATTGTTTAACACTGCCCTGTGTGATGCAACACTGAACTGACATGAAGGAGTCACAGTTTCATTCTGCTGCTGTAGTTCAGGTTCTGTACTGGTTCTTTACTGGTTCTTTACTGGTTCTTAACTGACGTGAGGGAGAGAATTACACACAACATACTGGGAACCAGAACTTTAATGTGTACAGTCCTGGTTCTGTCTACTTTTAATAATATTAACGACCATAGTCAGACTAATATTAGTTGGAGATGAGGAAAATGACACTATAGTCTGAGGGAATCTTGATGCATTCCCAAGCCAGCTGAAAGACACTGTCCTCCGAGACAGTGCTCCAGCATGTCCTGGGTCTTTGCTGGGACCCAGGACTTGGGTCCCAGTTCTGGTGTGGGATTTGCCTGTAACACCTCTGCAGGGAGGCACCCAGGATACATCCCAAGCAGAACAGTCATGTGGAGGAGCAGCGGCTCTACTCCGAGCTTCTCGTTTAGAGCGCTGGTCTCTCAGCTCTGGTCTCTCAGCTCTGGTCTCTCAGCGCTGGTCTCTCAGCGCTGGTCTCTCAGCTCTGGTCTCTCAGCTCTGGTCTCTCAGCTCTGGTCTCTCAGCTCTGGTCTCTCAGCTCTGGTCTCTCAGCGCTGGTCTCTCAGCTCTGGTCTCTCAGCTCTGGTCTCTCAGCTCTGGTCTCTCAGCTCTGGTCTCTCAGCTCTGGTCTCTCAGCTCTGGTCTCTCAGCTCTGGTCTCTCAGCTCTGGTCTCTCAGCTCTGGTCTCTTACCGTGAAGCGCAGACGCCTGCAGGATAGCTCCGGAGGTCCCGTCGATCACCGTGATGCTGTCCCTGCTGGTCACCGCCAGGATGGCGTTGAGGGCCGGGTGGTAGCTGAGGCTGCGCAGGCCCTCGGAGTCCGCCCGTAAGCAACCGTCTCTCTGCACACTCCAGTCCGAGGAGCAGGAGGCCGAGGCCGCCATCTTCCCCCAGAGCCGTGGCGCTGTGCCGGCTGGCTGGAGGGGGGTCCCGCGGGGGGTCCCAGGGCAGGCCAGCGGTGGTGTGGGTGTGTGATGGGTGTGAGGTTACGGGGACAGAGGCATTCCCGGGTCGTTCCCGTGTCGCTCCCGTACGGACAATCCTCTCTGCGGCTTCAGCTTCTGTTTCCGCAGCGCTGCTAGTCACCATCTGCACATGCGCCAACCGCACCGGGCATAGGTCTCTAGAGGAGACACGTGACACAAGTGACCGACCGCCATCTTGGAAGTGTATGCCTGGACAGCTCTAGCGCACTACTAGATCTGGAGGTGTGACTGTAATATTAGGCCAGATGTGTTTCATAATAATTATGTTAATATTTATTTATAATGACAGATAATAATCTGTCATTATCAGCATACTGCTATGACACTGCTGGGTCATGGGAGCAGCAGAGACACATCCTTCCTCCAGCTCATCTGGGGGACTCCTGAGCATGGATCTATTGCTCCTGAGCCGTTTGTCCCGGGTCTTCCCCTGGTCTCCTCCCAGTGGGACATGCCCAGAACACCTTCCCAGGGAAGAGACGAGGAGGCATCCGAAACAGATGAGCCACATCCACTGGATCCTCTCCATGTGGAGGAGCAGCGGCTCTACTCTGAGCTCCTCCAGTGTGACTGAACTCCTCCATCAAGGGAGTTCCTAAGAATCAAACAATCAGGAAGTCTTTTTGAAAACCTTTTAATAAGATAACATGTGTGCAGAAAGAACAGGAGCTAGAGCAGTCTTATAAAACTTGAACAGAACAGATGTTTCTCCTGAAGCAGATGAAGATCCTGTACTAGTGGGGAAATGTCAGTGTTGCATCACACCTTACAGCACAGCAGGATGAAGAGAACACAGTACAACTCTACTTAATACATAATATAATCTTTAGCTCAATAAAGAAACAATTATGCATCCAATCTTGACTTAATTCAAACACAGTGAGGTCTGTGTGTCAAATTATTTATATAACACAGTGTAACAAAGCACTCCCACAGGGGTAGCCAGCCTGCCAGAACTACTGGTTATAGGGGAAACTGGAGCCCCTGGAGGTAACCTATGCAGACAGAGAAAACATGCAATCTCCACACAGAGAGGCCTGGAGGTGGTGTCAAACCCATGGACCTTCTTTCTGTGATGCACAAATCCTAACCACTGCACCACTGTAACAAGATTTTGTATAACAATACTAACCCGCTTGTTCAATTAATCCCAACAGGGAAGTTTGGCTCCTCTCTTTTTTCTCTTCTATTGACATCAAGGTAAAAGTAAACTTCTAGCTCAGTAACGTTTGTGTGACATCACCATTTCAGGCTTAAATCTGCAGTTTATCAGTCTCTGTGATCCTGTTGTTTATATGTGATATAGTCTTTGGAAATCCAGATATGAGCCATATAAGGACTGACCAATCAGAGGCCTTCATTCAGGGGTAACTATAATTTGTCTTAGAAACAGTTTCAAGAACACGTCTACCTCCAATACAGCGCTAAGCTGACGTCAGAACAAATGCCCATATAACAAAACTGGCTCAAACTCACAATATGTTCAAATCAGCTGCTTCTGCATTAAGGATATCAGACTGTGGTGATGTCACACACTGTCAATTTATGACCCTGGTCTATGGAAGGCGCTATATTCAAAAACTTTTACTTAGTTTACTCAGTTATATACTTTAAGTGTTCCGTTTTTAATGAAACAGAGGGAACAACGTCCTTATTCAGAGCATCAAAGACAGAAGCTACAGATGTGACTTAAACTGATTTATTTAATGTCAAATCGGTCAATAAAAACCAGGGAGACCAGAAAGAGAGACCAGAGAGAGAGACCAGAGAGATAGAGAGCACAGAGAGAGGGACCCCAGACAGCCAGAAGTTTACTAGCTGTCTATAATGTACAATTACACACAAAATCCAGAAACAGCGAGGGACCGTTGTAATAAAGTGGGAACAATATGAATAAACAGATGTAATGTCCAGACTCCACCACCAGGAGGCAGTTTTGTCAACATCGAACATTGCGTGATCCTGAAGCACGTTGTTTTGAGAAACTCTCAAACCGCTGATGATGTCACAGAGTATAGTTACAACAGAGCATGGATGATGCTAAACACAACGGCAGGTCTGTGACGGAGGAACATGAGGACTGGGCCAGGAGTGTCCAAACACCAAAGGAGGAAGTCAACTGTTCAGTATCGAGATATGTTGCGGACACAATCAAATGGATACAGAAGCAAAGAATTAAGTATCTGTTTCACTTTAGTGTTTTCTCTGAGTTTCCTCTGTTTCCATGTTGTATTTGTAAAATGTAAGTGTAACAGGACTTATTTTCCTTTGAATATTATGAGGGACATGAATTGCAGAATCGAATCACAATAATAATTCCCGCCTCTAGTCCAAACCATTGTCACTGGAGGCCAATCAAAAGCCAATATAGTATGAACCTGGGGTCTGTAACTTTCGCCTGATAAATAATATGTAATTTGAACAGAACGTTTTAATGTAAAATCAGACACAACAGTCTGTCTTCATCTCATGAGCCCTGTGAGTCAGTATCTGCCTCTTTGGGCTGAGAGCTGATTGGCTGAGAAGAAACTGTTTAAGAGCCAGAACTAGAGAGTGTGTTGGTCTGAATGTTTCAGACCCCAGCTATGAAGTAAGATACTCCTGCTTCATCCTAAAGAAAGAGGTGAAATCTGGGGCTGGTTTAGTCCTGCTTTAGTCCTGCTTTAGACCCGCTTTAGACCTGCTTTAGACCTGCTTTAGACCTGCTTTAGACCTGCTTTAGACCTGCTTTAGACCTGGACCTCCCAGACCCCTGCGTTCCTCTGTGTCCTGTGCTATGATTGGTCAGAGCCAGGCGGTAGTTCATCAGTCCTAGGCTCTGATTGGCCAGTCACACTCCGGTGTACAGAGACAGGAAGTAGATGTAGAGCAGGAAGATGGGGTAAATGAGCAACGGCTTCTTTGTCTTAAACTCATCGCCAACGAGAAGCGATGCGGCGCTGTAGGCTGCCCAGAAGACTCCAGAGAGCTGAGGAGAGAGAGACGTCAACACAGAAACACACACAGAGAAACACACACAGAGAAACACACAGACACAAACACACTCACTTTGACGACGACAGCGAGCAGCTCCAATCCCCCGATGAAGAGCAGTAAGGGTGTGATGGCGATGAGTGGAAGCAGAGAGTAACCTATGACCCCCAGAACCTGACCAAAGGAGACCTGAGACCGGAGAGAGACCAGAGAGAGACCAGAGAGAGACCAGAGAGAGACCAGAGAGAGACCAGAGAGAGACCAGAGAGAGACCAGAGAGAGACCAGAGAGAGACCAGAGAGAGACCAGAGAGAGACCAGAGAGAGACCAGAGAGAGACCAGAGAGGGACAAGAAAGAGACCAGAGAGAGACCAGAGCGAGGCAAGAAAGAGACCAGAGAGAGACCAGAGAGAGAAGAAAGAGATCATAGTTGATATGTGCTGACAAGGCCTGTTTGGAAGCTGTGATGTCACATGACACTCACCTCTCCACCCAGAACTCGAGCCAGGATGAAGATGATCAAGGAACCGACAATCCAGATGGTGATGATCCAGGACACGACCTGAGAGGGACACCAAAGAGAGGAATACAGCAGGAGTTTGGAAACTGAGCAGTGAGACAGAAAAGACGGGGTAAGAGAGGGTGGTCTCTCGCTGTGGTTCCCAAAGTAGGGGTAGAGAAACCCCACCGCGGGGGTCGCAAGATGATTTCCATAAAAAACAAAAATATAGCCCTTGGGGAACCCTTGCTCTAGTGAACAAAAACAGGTACAGCTTGTGAGTCTCTGTCAGAAACCGGTGTAATGTACTGGTGCCCTCTGCTGGCCACTAGTGGTGGAAGCAGCAGGAGCAGTGGAAGTAATTTACTCAAAAGTAGCAGTCGTAAGAGCAGAAGTAATAGTAGTAGCCGTAATAGTAGAATTAACAGTAATAGTAGTATTAACAGTAATAGTAGTATTAACAGTAATAGTAGTATTAACAGTAATAGTAGTATAGTAATAGTAGTAGTAGTAGTAGTAGCAGTTGTATGTGTGAACTGTAACAAATAGAACTTGGGACAAACATGACGAGACAATATCTGGGGGATAACGTCTAATTACTATGTTTCTCTGTCATGGACTTATTCTTGGCGACACTGGCTGAGTGGTTATCACTCTTGCTACTCAGAAGGTTGGAGGCTTTGATGCACCAGTGCGTTCCATCATCACGCTGTGGAGATAATGAAACAATGTTTCATTTATTGTTTATCTGGGACAGTGCATGTTAATGACACCTCTCCACATTTCCATCTGTCGTCCCACACTCGCACTCACAAACAATCACTAATTCCAGAGCACCCGGAGAAAACCTATGCAGGCACAGGGAGAACATGCAAACTCCACTCAGAAAGACCCAATTCTGACGGGGATTCGAACCAAGGACCTTCTTACTGAGAAGCGATAGTGCTAACCAAACCACTCAGCTATTATTATTATCGTTATCTGAACTTTGAACATTATAAAGCACCTTGGTCTGTAAAAATACCCTATGTAAATAAAGATTAGGTGTTTGGTTTCTGGCTGTGGGTCTTGTCACTGTATTCTGTCTGTAAATTGGCAATATGTGCCCGGCTTTTTTACTGTTTTTTTTCCAGTAATATGTCTTACACTGGTATCAGTAGTAGTAATATTAGTAGTGGGAGTAGTTTTTAGCATTAGTATTTTGTGCAGTTTTCAAGATTCAGTGCAGTACTTACCCTGAACTGTCCGTAGATGGAGATCATAGAAAACAGCAGGACCACGGCCAGAGGACCCCAGAAGTCAGGGTTGTCCCTCACCACCTGCCTGTTGTACCCCAGAGACGGCATCGGCATCAGGACACACCGGAGCTTATAGTAAATGTCCTTCAGGTCAATATCCAGCTCCTCCCTGTCCACAGAGTCAGAGACCGAGAGAGACAGAGACAGACAGAGACAAAGACAGCCAAAAAGAGGCAGAGACAGAGAGAGAGACACACCCACACACAGATGCGCACACACGTCATTATTAAAGCTGGGGTATGTTACTTTCAAACCACAACAAAAGAACAATAACATACATTTGATTACTTCCTGGCTCTCCGGTGTCATGATCTGACAGGACCAGAGAGGGAGACCAGAGAGAGAGACCAGAGAGAGAGACCAGAGAGAGAGACCAGAGAGAGAGACCAGAGTGGGAGACCAGAGAGAGAGACCAGAGAGAGAGACCAGCGAGAGAGACCAGACAGAGAGACCAGAGAGAGAGACCAGCGAGAGAGACCAGAGAAAGAGACCAGAGAGAGAGACCAGAGAGAGAGACCAGAGTGGGAGACCAGAGAGAGAGACCAGAGAGAGAGACCAGCGAGAGAGACCAGAGAGAGAGACCAGAGAGAGAGACCAGAGAGAGAGACCAGAGAAAGAGATCAGAGAGAGAGACCAGAGAGAGAGACCAGAGTGGGAGACCAGAGAGAGAGACCAGAGAGAGAGACCAGTGAGGTAGACCAGAGAGGGAGACCTGACAGGGAGACCAGAGAGGTAGACCAGAGAGGTAGACCAGAGAGGTAGACCAGAGAGGTAGACCAGAGAGGTAGACCAGAGAGGTAGACCAGAGAGGGAGACCTGACAGGGAGACCAGAGAGGTAGACCAGAGAGGTAGACCAAAGAGGTAGACCAGAGAGGTAGACCAGAGAGGTAGACCAGAGAGGTAGACCAGAGAGGTAGACCAGAGAAGTTTCTCAGCACTGGTCAGTATTGTGGCCGTCACTCACAGCAGGGGCTTGGTGTCATCTCCCTGTTCCTCCTCCACCTCCAGGAGCCATCCATACCCCCTCTGCCTTAGGAAGGTGGTGGTGTAGGGCCCTGAACCGGAGTCTGAGCCTAGGTCCAGCTTCACGTCCGGGGCCGAGATGGTCCCACTGAGCTCTACGGAGAGCAGAGGGCTATAGATTATGTTTAAACCAGTGCAGTGATTGTGACCCAGAGAGAGAAATAAAGAAATTGCTTCACACAAACAATAACAATTAGTGAAAACCAACTTCTAGATCGCAGTATAGATTCATACATTTCTAACACTGGTATGGTTGAATATTAGGTTAGGCTCCAGAGGAACAGACATAGGCAAACAGCTCCACGTAAACAGAATTAAATGATCTCCTAGCCAGAGCTGAAATCTGTAAACTACAACGACAGAGCAAAAGCCATCACATGGTATATGTTAATTATAATAAGGACAGTCTACAAAGGTCTAATATGTGTATTTTATGTGCAGATGAACAGTATGCCCCACTGTTAACATTAGCATGTTAGCTCACCCTCAGCCTCCGCGGATGATACGAAGGTAAAGTCTCCATTGTTGGGGGGAAACTGCATCGTAAGGCCGGTGTTTGGACACTCCACCGCCGCAGACAGGGTGCTGAGCTCGGGAAGGTGTTAGCACAGTCCCGGTGGTGCTGTCATGGAAGAACTCTTAGATTCTGACGCTAAACAGGTTTGTTTTGAGACTGCAAACTAAACATGAAGGACCAGGAAGTAGACGGAAGATGCGGAGACTAGAGCGACAACGATCCAGGTCAACGAAATTTTATTATAGCACAATAAAATGCAGTATTAAATTTGTTTTGAAAAAAATCACTATATTATACATAAAACATATAAATATAGTGAATTAGGTTATTATTTCTGGCAACCCTAAAAGCGACACGTCTCATGATGCGTTCAGGGCGCCACCTAAAAATGGGAATCTCTCTTTTCACAAATTCACGCCTCAATTTCTTTCGTGTTTCGCAATTCTAACACATATACTGCAGTTAGCGAGAACAATTCAGCAAAAAGGGCATGTCACAGACGGTATAAATGAGAAAAAAACGATGTATAATGCAATAAATACTCCATAGTTAGACCATTACTCATCTATACACGTAAATTTACGCTTTAAATAATAACATCTCCTTAATTAAATTACATATATACATAAATAAACTCTATTTGAGTCATTTCGTGGGAAAGAAACCCCCGAACAGGAATTTGTTATCATAGAAATGCAGTTTCGTCGTGTCCGCAGACTCTATGTCATTTTACCACCGTGGTAAAGTGGCCCTGCATTTCGTCGCGAGCGGTAAAGAGGTCCGCACTTTGAATGCGGTTGGCTCTTTTATGCGGTTACTTACGGTAAATGTGGAAAGGGAAGCCGTGACGACGAGAAAGCAAAATGCTATATCTTTTAAAAAATCATTAAAAAAGAACAAAAAGAGGTTTGAGAATACTTTCACTGCCCACTTCTTCAATAAGATGCTCTTTACCACTGTGTAAAATATCATTCATTTTTACTCTAGAAATTCTGAGAAAATGGGGGTCAAAATGTGCCATTTTGGTCCCAAAAGCACTTTTTAAAATTCATTTTAAAAAAATCGAAAAAAGTTCCCTGACTGCTTTCACTGCACACTTGTTCACCAGGATGCCCTCTACCACTGTGTAAAATATCATTCACTTTTACTGTGGAAATCCAGAGAAAATGGGGGTCAAAGTGTGCACAAGTGGTCCCAAAAGCACTTTTTAAAATTCATTTTAAAAAAATCTAAAAAAGTTCCCTGACTGATTTCACTGCACACTTGTTCAACAGGATGCCCTCTACCACTGTGTAAAATATCATTCACTTTTACTGTGGAAATCCAGAGAAAATGGGGGTCAAAGTGTGCACAAGTGGTCCCAAAAGCACTTTTTAAAAATCATTTTTAAAAAAACTAAAAAAGTTCCCTGACTACTTTCACTGCACATTTGTTCACTAGGATGCCCTCTTCCACTGTGTAAAATATCATTCACTTTTACTGTAGAAATCCAGAGAAAATGGGGGTCAAAGTGTGCCATTTTGGTCCCAAAAGCACTTTTTAAAAATCATTTTAAAAAAATCTAAAAAAGTTCCCTGACTGATTTCACTGCACACTTGTTCAACAGGATGCCCTCTACCACTGTGTAAAATATCATTCACTTTTACTGTAGAAATCCAGAGAAAATGGGGGTCAAAGTGTGCCATTTTGGTCCCAAAAGCACTTTTTAAAATTCATTTTAAAAAAAACTAAAAAAGTTCCCAGACTACTTTCACTGCACACTTGTTCACCAGGATACCCTCTACCACTGTGTAAAATATCTTTCACTTTTACTGTAGAAATCCAGAGAAAATGGGGGTCAAAGTGTGCCATTTTGGTCCCAAAAGCACTTTTTAAAATTCATTTAAAAAAAATCTAAAAAAGTTCCCTCACTACTTTCACTGCACACTTGTTCACCAGGATGCCCTCTACCACTGTGTAAAATATCATTCACTTTTACTGTAGAAATCCAGAGAAAATGGGGGTCAAAGTGTGCCATTTTGGGCCCAAAATCTCCCCTTCCTATTTCATGTGTTTTCACTGTTTCCCTACTTTGTTGTGTGACATGTGTTCTACAATGCATTAAAAGGCAGACATGAGGGGATGTCCCGAGGTGTGTTTCTCCCCCACGTCCGACCAACTCTATGTGTATTTATTTAATTATTTTCGGTGCTACTCTAATGTGATCCATTAATAGACAGGAGATGGGGGGACCAAAATAGTGCGTTTGGTATGATATTTTACACAGTGGTAGAGGGCATCCTGGTGAACAAGTGTGCAGTGAAAGTAGTGAGGGAACTTTTTTAGATTTTTTTAAAATGAATTTTAAAAAGTGCTTTTGGGACCAAAATGGCACACTTTGACCCCCATTTTCTCTGGATTTCTACAGTAAAAGTGAATGATATTTTACACAGTGGTAGAGGGCATCCTGTTGAACAAGTGTGCAGTGAAATCAGTCAGGGAACTTTTTTAGATTTTTTTAAAATGAATTTTAAAAAGTGCTTTTGGGACCAAAATGGCACACTTTGACCCCCATTTTCTCTGGATTTCCACAGTAAAAGTGAATGATATTTTACACAGTGGTAGAGGGCATCCTGTTGAACAAGTGTGCAGTGAAATCAGTCAGGGAACTTTTTTAGATTTTTTTAAAATGAATTTTAAAAAGTGCTTTTGGGACCACTTGTGCACACTTTGACCCCCATTTTCTCTGGATTTCTACAGTAAAAGTGAATGATATTTTACACAGTGGTAGAGGGCATCCTGGTGAACAAGTGTGCAGTGAAAGTATTCGCAAACCTCTTTTTGTTCTTTTTTAATGATTTTTTAAAAGATATAGCATTTTGCTTTCTCGTCGTCACGGCTTCCCTTTCCACATTTACCGTAAGTGACCGCATAAAAGAGCCAACCGCATTCAAAGTGCGGACCTCTTTACCGCTCGCGACGAAATGCAGGGCCACTTTACCGCGGTCATTTTACCGTAATGTCACGGTTTAGCATTCGTTTTCAACCAATGAGAAAGCCGTATATTGCAACGTCGCTAAATCTTGTCTAATAACAGCTCGTCTTACTCAGGCGCGAGTTTTGCCGCTAAAAACAAAGCCGAGCTAGTTCTGTATCGTGTTGTGTTGTTTTTCTTATTTTTTTGGCGAATACATCGCACAAGTACGCACTTATGTGCGGGTTGTCCATGAGTTATAACGTCAAGCAGCTTATAGCCTTGTAAATAAGTATTGTTATGTCTTTTTTAGGCTGAATTTCGTCTGTTTCAGAAGATTACGAGCCGTTGGATTCGACTCTGAACCTCCTACTGATTTATTTTGAGGTAAATACTTTAGAAATAACACACTGAATTCAACACTTAAACCCATATTATTATTATTTTACTGTGATAACGTGATATGTTTATATTTCCAGTAGAGTCGTTGTAATGTTCGTCTGAGAATATTATATTTCCCCTGTTATGTTAGTGTCAATCCACGTGAAACTAATTATCACTAAACTCATGCAGGTTACAGCTGGTTCTTTCACATTGAAAATACAGCATAGTTAATATATGTATATAAATTATCTCTGTTCATCCATTCTCTTCCACTTTATCCATTGCTGGGTCACAGAGGCAGCAGTCTGAGCAGAAAAACAGTATTCTCTGTCCACACACCTCCTCGCGCCGAGAGACACAGTCTGTGTCCTGGGTCTTCCCCTGGTCTCTTCCTGGTGGGATATGAGACCAGGAGGCATCCCAAACAGATGGGCCACCTCCACTAGCTCCTCTCTTTTGTGGAGGAGCAGCAGCTCTACTTTGAGCTCTTCCTGTGTGACTGAGCTCCTCACCCTATCTCTTAGGGAGTGCCCAACGCCTAAACGAAGGATGTATAGCTCTGACCGCAGATGCGGCTCGCTCTTCACCTCAGTGAGATACAGCTCTGACTGCAGATGCTGCTCCCTCACTGATCCGTCTCAGTCTCCTTCACTGAGGAAAGGACCAGAGAGAGATGACCCCCTCTGCCCCCTCCACAGTTTGTGGTGACACTGAGTGTGTATGAAGTGTGCTATATAAATAAACCTACTGGAGGTCACAATCTCATGCTCTTTTCTGTGTTTTCCTCAGTGCTGTCTGCAGCCCCAGAGCATCATGGGAATTTCAGGCCTGCTGCAGTTCCTCAAAGACGCCTCAGAGCCAGTGAACGTCAAGAAGTACAAAGGACAAAGTGTAGCTGTGGACACTTACTGCTGGCTCCACAAGGGGGCGTTCTCCTGCGCTGAGAAGCTGGCTAAAGGAGAGACCACAGATCAGTGAGTAATGTGACATCCCAAAGCAGAGAGGAGAGACCACAGAAAGGAGACTTTGGGAGCTGACAAATGTGATGCAAAACAGAAGCTTGAGACTGAAACTTCCAACAGAATGACTCAGACTGTGTCAGGAAAAGTGCAGGTTAATACAGACACACACAAGCAGCAACCACAGAGCACAGGTAGCACACAGACACCAGAGCTCTGTCTGGAGCCACTGCTCGTCACAGCTGTCCCTGTGCTGGAGGATGGTCAGGTTCAGAGGATACTCTTGGACTGATGTACACCCTTCTCTTTGGTGTCGCCGCCTAATGAGCAGGATCTCACATGAGCCTCCCTCCTCCTCTCTCTCCCCCTTCTCTCCTCCTCTCTCTCCTCTCCTCCCTCCTATCTCCTCCTCCCCTGTGCAGATATGTGTGGTACTGCATGAAGCTGGTGGACATGCTTCTGATGTTCGGAGTGAAGCCCATTCTGGTGTTCGATGGTCGAAACCTACCGTCGAAGAGAGAAGTGGAGAAGACCCGCAGAGAGTGAGTGTTCATTACACATGTTTGAACATGTGTTCAATGTGTTGAATAGCAGAGAGAGAGTTTCTCAAGTGTAAAGTGCCTCAAAATAAACAAGATCTGAGGGAAAATTATAAGCAGAAACAGTCCCTTTTTGACAAATTTGTAAGATTTTATAAAAGAAGGTTTAATAGGGGTCAAGCATTAAAATTTGACCATTTACAAACAAGCAATCCACAACAATTTTGGAAAGAGATTAATAGATTGGGACCACAAAGAATTAAGACAATTCCCATGGAAGTTATTATGGAAAACGGTGCAGTGGAGTTGAGAAAAGAGCGAGTTGTTGAAAAATGGGAACTTGATTTCTCAAATTTATTTTCAGGTCTGACTAATATTGAAGACTTTGACCCTGCTTTTGGTGTTCTCTCAGTTCAAGTAAAAGAAAATCTTGAATTAATTTTGGGTGATAATAGCCGATCAAATATATATTTGAATTTTGATATTACTTTGGAAGAAGTGAGCGATGCTCTCAATAAGGCCAAACTGAGGAAGGCTATGGGAGTGGAGGAAATTCCAAACGAGGTGTTAAAGTCTCCACATCTTAGGCATATGCTTCTTGGTTTATTTAAATTTTGTTTTGACAACGGTATTGTTCCCTCTACGTGGTATAAATCAATCATTAAACCTATTCCCAAATCACCGAAAGATGACCCACGCATACCTCTAAACTACAGAGGAATTAGCCTCCTCAGTACTGTCTACAAAATTTACTCTAGTATTTTAAATGCTAGATTAAGTTATTTTTTGGAAACAACAGAGTATCTAGTAGATGAACAAAATGGATTTAGAAAACACAGGGCATGTATTGATCATATTTATTCGGTATCAGCAGTAGTCCGAACTAGATTAATTGAAAACAAACCGACTTATGTCTGTTTTGTGGACTTTAAAAAGGCCTTCGACTGGGTGAATAGAGATCTGTTAAGTTTGAAGCTTCTCCAGGCCGGGGTTGATGGGAAGTTCTACTGGGCGTTAAAGTCCCTGTATGCAGACTGTGTGGGATGTGTGCAGGTGAATGATGAGCAGACTGAGTGGTTCCGTATCCCCTTTGGGGTAAAACAGGGGGATATTCTGTCCCCATGCCTGTTCTCTCTGTTCATAAATGATTTGGCTCTTGAAATGAAACATCTGAACTTAGGCGTGCACCTAGACAGTGTGACTGTGGGCATTCTGCTCTACGCTGATGATGTAGCACTACTTGCTGAAACTGAAGAGGATCTACAGAAAATGTTAAATGTTTTACACAATTGGTGCTGTAGATGGAGACTTGTTATAAATCAAACAAAAACACAAATTATGCACTTTAGGAAAAGATTTATTTCACGAAGCACAAACGTTTTTACTTTTGGCAATACCATTCTTGAGTATGCAGCCCAGTATAAGTATCTAGGATTCGTATTTGATGAATTTATGACATTTGACAGAGGAGTTAAAATCCTAGCTGCTTCAGCCAGTAGAGCCCTGGGTTCTGTGATAAACAAGTTAAAAGTAGGTAAAGATCTTGGTTATGGAACATTCTCTCAGTTGTATGCCGCCTGTGTGTCGCCTGTGCTAAACTATGCTGCTGGTGTGTGGGGGGCCGTGCAGAGCCCAGCCTTAGACGCTGTAGAAAACCGTGCAATCCGCTGCTTCTTGGGAGTTCATAAGTTTGTCCCCGTGCTGGCAGCGCAAGGCGATATGGGCTGGGTTCCTGGATCAATCCAAAGGAAATGTGAAATGGTGAGACTGTGGAATCGACTCATTAACCTGTCTGAAAAGAGAGTAACAAAAAAAGTCTTTCTATGGAGTAAAAATAAGTGTCCTTGGGCTGCAGAGCTCCGGACTGTCTTTGCTGATGCACAACTCCAGTATGTATTCCAGAATAATTTGTCCTGTAGTGTTAAAACCATCAGATCAATTTTAATGTCAAACTTTGAACACAAATGGTTGACTGGGATCATGGCAAAGCCAAAGCTAAGGACTTACTTACAAATTAAAGATGTATTTGAAACTGAGTTGTATGTAAAGACACCTGACAAGGAACCAAAGATCTTTGATGGCTCAGCTGCGAACTGGCATCCTTCCCCTGGCCATAGAAACTGGCAGGTTCACTCAAACTCCTGAAGAGGACAGACTCTGTAGACTGTGTGAGTTAGGAGAGATTGAAAGTGAAACTCATTTTGTGTTATATTGTCCACAGTACGATGATCTTAGAAATGTATTGTTTGGTGAATTGTTTGTTCAAAAGCCTGAAATGTTCTGGATCAGTGATGACGACAAGATGAAATGGTTGTTTACTTCTAATGTGTTTAAATTGGCTTTAAAAGCCTGGTTGAGGCGGCAGACTTGTTTGTTTAAATAAGTTTATGTATTGTATAGTGTGCCTATTGTCTGGCATCTGGGGCTTTTGTTGGTGTTATTGGTGTCTTATAAGCCCACTAGGGCTGGGCATACAGTGTGTATGCAAGGCACAATAATAAAAACTATTCATTCATTCATGTTTCTCCACTGAGGGAGGGAGAGAGAGAGGGGAGAGGGAATGTTACTGTAAACAGTAACAACGGGGCCACCTACAGACACTCACAGGGGTTCAAATCCCGGTCGGACCAGGGCCTTTCTGTGTGGAGTTTGCATGTTCTCCCCGTGTCTGCGTAGGTTTCCTCCGGGTACTCCGGTTTCCCCTACCTCTAAAAATATGTACAATAGGTACATCTCTCTGTGTGGAGTGAGAGACAAATGCCCAAAAACAACAATTGTAAAGCGCTTTGTGACTCTAGTCTGTGAAAGGCGGTATATAAATAAACATTACTTATTTACTTACTATTTATAAACACAGAGAGAGAGGGGGGGATAGTGGCCTCGTCTGATGCCCACTATTTACTAACATTTTCTTCTCCCAATCGCAGACAAGTTGGAACAAAGCTCTGATTGTTAACTTGAATGTTGTGTTTTCATGAAGGCGTCGAGAGCTAAATCTACAGAAGGGCAAACAGCTTCTGAGAGACGGAAAACTGTCAGAGGCTCGAGAATGTTTCAATCGCTGCGTGAATATAACTCCAGCCATGGCCCACAACCTGATCAAGGTCTGGTACTCACAGCAGAGGACACACTGTAGACCTGGTCCCAGCAGAGGACACTCTCTAGACCTTATCCAAATATTATAAGACATGATTATAAATGTTCTTAATGTAACCACCCGTGCCTGTAGGTGGCGCGCTCCCGTGGCGTGGACTGTCTCGTGGCGCCGTATGAAGCCGATGCGCAGCTCGCCTTCCTCAGTAAAAGGGGTTTGGCTCAAGCTGTGATCACAGAGGACTCGGACCTGCTCGCCTTTGGCTGCAAGAACGTAAGAGACTTGAAGTTGTTTTTAGATGCTTCCAGACTGTGACCGTAAATGTAATCACTATCACAGAAAATATGTAATCTTTTCTGTCAGAAAAATCCCTGTGAGTCACTATTTGAGTCTTTAGGCTGAGAGCTGATTGGCTGAGTGAGGTTGGTCCTCTGTTTTTACTTTTCTGTCTGAACAAACTGATGTGAGAGACCAGAGAGAGAGAGAGACCAGAGAGGGAGAGAGAGAGACCAGAGAGGGAGAGAGAGAGAGACCAAACTAGAGGGAGAGACCAGAGAGAGGGAGTCCAGAGAGAGGGAGTCCAGAGAGAGGGAGAGACCAGAGAGAGGGAGAGACCAGAGAGAGGGAGAGACCAGAGAGAGGGAGAGACCAGAGAGAGGGAGAGACCAGAGAGAGGGAGAGACCAGAGAGAGGGAGAGACCAGAGAGAGAGAGAGAGACCAGAGGCTCTCAGCCTAAAGACTCAAATAAGGACTCAGGGATTTTTCTTACTCAAAAGATTAAATATTTTCTGTGAGAGAGACCAAAACTACATGAGGTGGAAACTAGTGATGGAACAAACTGTTTTTGAGCCAAAAACTAGAGACATGGGTTAAAATTCTAATGGTGTGGTCTGAGAGTTAATGGACAGCTTTAAAGTGACCCCCCACAGCTTTAAGGTCAGATGTATCGTCCTAAATGGTTGTGTTCTACAGGTGATCCTGAAGATGGACAAGCAGGGGAACGGTCTGGAGATCTCCCAGAGTCACTTTGGGCGAGTGAAGTGTTTAGGAAATGTGTTCACGGAGGAGAAGTTTCGTCACATGTGCATCATCTCCGGCTGCGACTACCTGCCCTCCCTCCACGGCATTGGCCTGGGCAAGGCCTGCAAACTGCTGAGGCTGTCCCGCGATCCGGACATTCTCAAGGTAGTCGCCTTGTGCAGGAGTCTCATCAGGAGCTAGTGTCTCTGTGTAGCTGTCATCAGGAGCTAGTGTCTCTGTGTAGCTGTCATCAGGAGCTAGTGTCTCTGTGTAGCTGTCATCAGGAGCTAGTGTCTCTGTGTAGCTGTCATCAGGAGCTAGTGTCTCTGTGTAGCTGTCATCAGGAGCTAGTGTCTCTGTGTAGCTGTCATCAGGAGCTAGTGTCTCTGTGTAGCTGTCATCAGGAGCTAGTGTCTCTGTGTAGCTGTCATCAGGAGCTAGTGTCTCTGTGTAGCTGTCATCAGGAGCTAGTGTCTCTGTGGAGCTGTTATCAGGAGCTAGTGTCTCTGTGGAGCTGTCATCAGGAGCTAGTGTCTCTGTGGAGCTGTTATCAGGAACCAGTGTCTCTGTCATCAGGAACCAGTGTCTCTGTCATCAGGAACCAGTGTCTCTGTCATCAGGAACCAGTGTCTCTGTCATCAGGAACCAGTGTCTCTGTCATCAGGATCCAGTGTCTCTGTCATCAGGATCCAGTGTCTCTGTCATCAGGAGCCAGTGTCTCTCATCAGGAGCTAGTGTCTCTGTCATCAGGAGCTAGTGTCTCTGTCATCAGGAGCTAGTGTCTCTGTCATCAGGAGCTAGTGTCTCTGTCATCAAGAGCTAGTGTCTCTATCATCAGGAGCTAGTGTCTCTGTAGAGCTTTTATCAGGAGCCAGTGTCTCTGTCATCAGGAACCAGTGTCTCTGTCATCAGGAACCAGTGTCTCTGTCATCAGGAACCAGTGTCTCTGTCATCAGGAGCTAGTGTCTCTGTCATCAGGAGCTAGTGTCTCTGTCATCAAGAGCTAGTGTCTCTATCATCAGGAGCTAGTGTCTCTGTGGAGCTGTTATCAGGAACCAGTGTCTCTGTCATCAGGAGCTAGTGTCTCTGTCATCAAGAGCTAGTGTCTCTATCATCAGGAGCTAGTGTCTCTGTGGAGCTGTTATCAGGAACCAGTGTCTCTGTCATCAGGAGCTAGTGTCTCTGTCATCAGGAGCTAGTGTGTTTGTCTTCAGGTCATAAAGAAGATGGGCCAGTACCTGAAGATGGACCTGCTGGTACCGGACTCGTACTTGGAGGGTTTCACTCGGGCCAACAACACGTTTCTGTATCAGCTGGTGTTCGACCCGAGGAGCCGGAGAGTGGTCCCTCTGAACCCTTACCCCGAAGACCTGGACCAGGGCCAGGACCTGAGCTACGCCGGGCTGTATCCTACTGAGACTAGAGCTAAGACCAGGACTGTAGCAGGACCAAGAGTGGGTCATGACCAGGACTGGACCGTGGTGTGTCAGAGCGCCCCCTGGTGTTTGAGGCCTTGACGCTGTGCTCAGGAACCTTGGAGATCAGAAGGGTCTGCAGATGGCTTTGGGAAACCTGGACCTGAACTCTCTGGAGAAGATTGACGACTTCAACCCAGACACGGCCCCTCAAACACAGGTACAGACCCTCAGCCCACAAGCTGGAGTCACTTTAAAGCTGGAGTCACTTTAAAGCTGGAGTCACTTTAAAGATGGAGTCACTTTAAAGCTGGAGTCACTTTAAAGCTGGAGTCACTTTAAAGCTAGAGTCACTTTAAAGCTAGAGTCACTTTAAAGCTAGAGTCACTTTAAAGCTGGAGTCACTTTAAAGCTGGAGTCACTTTAAAGCTGGAGTCACTTTAAAGCTGGAGTCACTTTAAAGCTGGAGTCACTTTAAAGCTGGAGTCACTTTAAAGCTGGAGTCACTTTAAAGCTGGAGTCACTTTAAAGCTGGAGTCACTTTAAAGCTGGGGTCTGTAACTCTCAGACCAATAGATAAGTAGTGTAGTGTCTTGGTTGCACATCACAGCAGAATAAAAAGTCATAAATAAGAGCACTCTGATTGCACTCATCAAACACACATCTATTATTGAAATTTATAGATAATAAAATAATTGAATTATTATGATGTGAAGCGTCTTTGAGTGCCCAAAAAATTGCTCTATAAAACCAATGTATTATTATTATAATGCTAAGGGTAGTTTTTTATTTCTTGACCAGTCTTGTTTAGCTACTGTGGACTTTTGAATCAACTTGTTAAATAAATGGGGCTCGAGCGAACGCATGCGCAAATGCGGACTGAGGCTGTGGACCCCGGACTCTGAGGCTGTGGACCCCGGACTCTGAGGCTGTAGTCCCCGGACTGAGGCAGTAGAACCCGGACTGAGGCAGTAGACTCCGGACTGAGGCAGTAGACCCCGGACTCTGAGGCTGTAGTCCCCGGACTGAGGCTGTAGTCCCCGGACTCTGAGGCTGTAGTCCCCGGACTCTGAGGCTGTAGTCCCCGGACTCTGAGGCTGTAGTCCCCGGACTCTGAGGCTGTAGACCCCGGACTCTGAGGCTGTAGACCCCGGACTCTGAGGCTGTAGACCCCGGACTCTGAGGCTGTCGAAGGCCAGTTGGTGCAGATCACACAGAATCCTTCTTTGACTTTATAAAGCTCTTAACTTAAAGCTTCACTAACTGACTTTATTTTTGTATTAATTACTAAAATGCTATCCATGTCCGTGTAGGGCATTGGGATATACGTCCTTTTGAAGAAAAAGTAGCGCAGATTTGTGCTGGCGTGACATTATATTTTAGATCGAGTTTTGATGAAACAAGGAAGAGAATGTGTTTCGGGTCGCAGATTGTGACCAATCACAGCGAACCACTAGCCCCCATTTTCGTGAGAAATCTACAGGTCCGTTAGCATAGACGGCTGAGTTAGCACAACAAGCGGCGGAGCTAACCTGAAGCTCCCTCGTCTTCGTCACCGGTTACTGCTTACACAGCGAGACAGCCATCCAAAAGAAAGTCTCGTTCCTCCGCGCTTCCCGGTTCTATCGTTCTATGGTCACGCCATCCACGTGCAAATCCATATCCATGTATTATCCATATTGAGAGACACTAGCTCCGTCCCAACAGTGGGTGTGTGTGGGGGGCGATAGCTTCGTGGGTGCGGGGAGGGGAGCAGAAAGAGCGAGGCCAGCGAGTCTGCTGCTTCAAAATCCCAAAGTCAGTTAGTGCAGCTTTAATTCTTGTGTCCAGAGTAAAGCTCGCAGTCGCAGTTGGACCGACGCGCCCTCCTCCCTCCCGATCAGCTCTATCTGGACCAGAGATGCCTCCACAGCACCCCCTACAGGCTGCAGTAGAGATGCCTCCACAGCAACCCCTAAAGGCTGCCACTCTCCTCCTCCTGCAGACAACAGAACCTCCTCCAGGGGGCAGCACAAGCTTCTGAGTGTGGCTCTGAAGCTGCAGCTCAAACGGCCAAGAGAAGGTGAGTGAGGAGACCAGAGAGAGAGACCCCTATGATGTCACATTTTAAACTTTTCATACTTGTTTGTTATGAACTAAAATACTGAATATTTCTGGCCTCTCTCTTCTCTGTCTGTCTGTCTCTCTCTGTCTCTCTCTCTCTCTCTGTCTCTGTCTCTCTCTGCCTCTCTGTCTCTCTCTCTCTGTCTCTGTCTCTCTCTCTCTGCCTCTCTGTCTGTCTCTGTCTCTCTCTGTCTCTCTGTCTCTCTGTCTCTGTCTCTCTCTCTGTCTCTCTCTGTCTCTCTGTCTCTCTCTGTCTCTCTGTCTCTCTGTCTCTCTCTCTCTCTGTCTCTCTCTGTCTCTCTCTCTGTCTCTCAGATTGTCCGCTGTCGGAGCAGGACATGTTTCTGCAGTATTCTTCAAAGGACCAAAAGAGGCAGAGAACCACCCCTGCCCTCTCCTCCTCCCCCAAACCTCCCCCCCACAGTCGGAACCGGTTTGCCACGTTACTACAGCAGAGGAACCAGAGCGACGAGGGGAGCGAGGCCACACGCAGCAGGTGCCAATCACACATGTGTTTCAGTCCAGATAAATGTGTTCAAAGAGAAGTCTGTGACTTCTCTTTGAACACATCTTTCCACATTCTTTTTTAGTTAGTGGTATGTGAAGCATTTCATGTCCTATAAGGGTCTCTCTGGTCTCTCTGGTCTCACTTTGGTCTCTCTTTGGTCTCTCTTTGGTCTCTCTCTGGTCCCTCTCTGGTCTCTCTTTGGTCTCTCTCTGGTCTCTCTCTCTTCTCTTCCTGGTCTCTCTCTGGTTAATATGATATTTCTCTTTCAGGTTTTTCCGCAGCTCTCCTCCCCCCTCTCCCCCACTGAGCTCCCCCCATAGTGACCCAGATGACTGCGAGGCTCCAGAGGCTCCCTCTGTGGACACTCCCACCTCCTCTCCTACTGCGCCACCTGCCGAGCCTCCTGCCGAGCCTCCTGCCGAGCCTCCTGCAGTGTCCCCCTCCGCCACCAGGGGGCAGCAGCTTTTCCACTGGTCCAGCTCTCCTCCCTCACTCCCTCCACAGTCTGGACTCTCAGCTCTGAAGAGGTTCAGGTTCAAGAAGACCATTGAGACTCACAGTTCTCCTACACACAGGTGAGACCAGAGAGAGAGACCAGAGAGAGAGACCAGAGAGAGAGACCAGAGAGAGAGACCAGAGAGAGAGAGACCAGAGAGAGAGAGACCAGAGAGAGAGAGACCAGAGAGAGGGAGACCAGAGAGAGGGAGACCAGAGAGAGGGAGACCAGAGAGAGAGAGACCAGAGAGAGAGACCAGAGAGAGAGAGAGACCAGAGAGAGAGACCAGAGAGAGAGAGACCAGAGAGAGAGACCAGAGAGAGAGAGACCAGAGAGAGAGACCAGAGAGAGAGACCAGAGAGGGAGAGAGACCATGTGACATCATCAGCTCCACATTGAGTTCTAACGGTTGTTTTTGTGTCTCAGCCTCTCCCCCACTCCAGACTCTCAGGACAGTGCGTACTTCTCCCAGCCCCAGGCCCCCACAGAGACCCCCCCTGAGGGCACTCCTGAGGAGGCGGCCCTCTGCACCGCACACGTATGCATCATCATCATCATCCTTGTCTTCATCATTTCACATCTCTGTCGTCTCTAAATGTTTGTGTCTCTGAAGGATCTGGACAGAAACACTGAAGCAGATCTGAGGTCAGCGGACAGGATACTGGGCACGCCAACTTATAAGGTCAGAGGCTTTTACTGCTGCTGCTGCTGCGGCTGCTGCTGCTGCTCCTTCATGATAGTGTTTTGGTTTTCAGGCAGCTGGTCTCTCTCGTCCGCATTCCTCTCAACCTGTCAAACCTCGATCTCTGGGTCCGGCTCGGGTCAGTGGTCTCAGGAAGTCCGGCTCCAGACCTGGACCCAGACCTGGACCCAACAATGAGAACAGTCCCTCCGTCCAGGCCACGATCAGCGGACTGTGGAAGCACTACAGCTTCAGCAAGTACGACCAGTTAAAGCACAGGGACATAACTTTAGTCTCATTAATAACACATGTTTAAAGCTGGGGTCTGTAACTTTAGTCACATAAATAGCACGTAATATTAACAGTAAAATCTTTGGAACAAATCAGACCACAAGCCCTCTATGAGTCACTATCTGACTCGGGCTGACAGCTGATTGGCTGAGGGAGGGTGGTCCTCTTTGGTTCTGTTGTGTGCATGTTTTAGACCTCAGCTTTAAGAAATGCCCCAGCATGTGACAGTAAATGTATTTGTTGTGTTGCAGAGTTGGTCCAAAGATGGTTCGGAAGGAACCTCTATCTCCAGTGAAAGACAACACGATTCTTCAGTGACAGCGCCCCCTGTCTGCGGCCAATACAACATACTGTGTATGTGCTCTTTATACTTTTAATTAAAGCATTTTATCAACCAACTTTTGTTTATTGGGTTTTACAATTACACTTAAATGCACAGTATTTAAGTGTACATTTTTATACATTTATAATATAATATAATTATATATATATATATATATATATATATATATATTATATATATATATATATATATATATATATATATATATATATATATATAATATATAAATATTATATTATATTATAAATGTATAAAAATAAACATGCAGAGAAAATGCTGAAAAAAACAAACGGAAAGGAACATTCACCCAGACTATAATGAGAAAACATACAGACAATTAAAGTGGATTTATGTGACCATACGTAGTAGTTAAATTTCCCACTTCAAACAGACTAATAAAGGATTTCTATGCCCTAGTAAAATCCACCAACTATCTGAGCCTTTGACTATGTGACCAACACCAGGGAGAGACCAGGGAGAGACTTGGGGCTGTATATCTAAAGATTCTAAGTGCTAAAAGTTGCTCCTAGTGGCCAAATTCTAAGAATATTTTTAGAATCTTGACGTTCTCTTAAAGTAGATCCTAGTTTTAAAAAAAAGCCATTCCTAAAGAATCCTAGCTCTTAAGAGAACTTTTAGCAACTTAAGAGTTCCTGAAGAGGACAAAATGGAGGATGGAAGAGGCCGGAGAGATTCAGTATTCCACAAACCCGGGATAACATTGGGGCCAAATGTTCCTCTTAAACACTTTAATGCTCATTGAGCCAGAAGCAAACACTTCCTCTGCTCAGCTGGGATTCCTTTCTTTTATGCTCATCTCTGTTCACTTGTTTGCAGTGTTGGGCACGTTACTTTGAAAAAGTAATTAGTTATAGTTACTAGTTACTTCTCCCAAAAAGTAACTGAGTTACTAACGGAGTTACTCCACTATAAAAGTAACTAGTTACCAGTAAAAGTAACTATTGCGTTACTTTTTCGTTTTGTTCTGGAACATAATGTGCACTCGACGTGCGCATTTTTACCTTTAACCTCAGTGAGTTTGAAATAGTGCCAATATTTCCATCTAGAAAAGTCTGTTTTGCTGCTTTAGTCCTGTTCACTCTTCATCGCTCTCTGTGCTGTAAGCACTAAACACCAACACCCGCCGCCACTGTGAATGTGGAAACACCGGTGAAGCACTGACTTCAGCCCAATCAGATGAACATATATATCATATAAATCAAGTGGACCATTTGGTTGGCTACAGCAAAATATGTTTCATGCCCGCATTGTTTGTTCATACAAAACGCAAAACTATGAGTTATGGGTCTTACCTTATAAATGACCTGCACAGACCACTTCAGTTCAGACCAGTTCTGTGTTTAAGTCCAGATAATAGTTTGAGCGTAGATATGTAATCCTCCATTTGGAAATGAGTCCAATGAGTTTTAAAAAGTAAAACAAAACGCGTGTCTCCTCCATAAACTCCTGTGTTTTGCTGCAGCCGGCTGCATCCAATTTCTAAAATCAACCGTCTTACACTTCACCTCTCTTTTTTATCATTCCTATAGTAATTGAAAAATTACCCTATGTGCATTTTAGATTATGTAAAAATGTGTTATATGTATGTTAGCCAAACCTGTTGCTGTCCTTAGCAGATAAACCAGGAAGAGCAAGGAGCTTATCGATGGAATTGTATGCAGCCTTCTGCGCTCACATGAGCTCCTCTGCGGCTGACCTCACGGTGATACAAGCCGTGGTTGAGTGCGATTAAGACCAATATTTGTTTCAAAAACACAATTTATGACCATCCTCTCAACTGTAGACATGTAGATTGTAAAGGAAATATGTTTTACATCAGCCAATAATTGCTGAGAGGTTTTCTCATCCTCCCTTCTCTCATGACAACACGTTCATTGTGCGTCTTGAGTAACGCGCAGTAACGGGATGTCGGAAATGATAACGGCGTTATAGTTACTGTCAAAGTAATTAGTTAGATTACTCGTTACTGAAAAAAGTAACGGCGTTAGTAACGCCGTTATTCCCATCACTGCTTGTTTGTAGTATATTTGAAAGTCAACAGCACAGCTTCAATCACAGCTGTGCCATTTTACCCTCGTTACACCACAGAGAAAACTACTGTTGTGATTTAGGGAGACACAAAAATAAATTGAATTGAACTGAAACACGTCATGTTTAACTTTGGGGAAAATATCCGAATAAGTTTGTGCAGCAGCATTCCGGAGCTGAGGTGAACTGTGTAAAAGTATTTGGACGGTGCGTCATGTGTGGAATGTGCCTTGGCCCCGCCCCTTTCTCCCATGTTTGGTCACTTCCTGCATGTTTTGAATGTTTGAGATAAACCACAGCATGTATTCTTCTAAGGCCTCACTTGCAGGAGCCTTTCACACTGTCGTAATAATGTGACATCATGTCTTAAAGCTGGAGTCTGTGACTTTCAGACCACAACAGAACTCCATTTAAGGCAAGGCAGGTTTATTCGTTTATCACAAGGCAACTAAAACTGCTGAACGAAACTGATATCTCTTGCACCAGCAGGAGGTCGCACATCACCCCTGTCCTGAAAGCTCTTCATTGGCTGCCAGTGTCCTACAGGATACATTTTAAAATTCTGGCTTTGCACGCCTTACAGCCTTACACCCCAGCCAGGGCTCTGAGGTCTGTGGATCAGAACCTGGGCGGCACGGTGGCTGAGTGGATAGCACTCTCGCCTCTCAGCAAGAATTTTCGAATCCCGGTTGGACCAGGGCCTTTCTGAGTGGAGTTTACATGTTCTCCCCGTGTCTGCGTAGGTTTCCTCCGGGTGCTCCGGTTTCCCCTGCAACTAAAAATATGTACAATAGGTCTGGCATGTGCCTCCTGTACTGGCCCCCCCACTCCCAAAAATAACAATTGTAAACCGCGTTGAGACTCCGATGTGCAGTGAAAAGGTGGTATATAAAGATTACTACTACTACTACTACAACTACTCGCTTCAAGACCAGAGGAGACCAGTCCTTCCAGGCTGTTGCTCCCAAGCTTTGGAACGTTCTCCCGCTCTCTCTGCGTTTTATTGAGTCTGTTGAGTCCTTCAAAAGTCAACTTAAAACCCATTTATTTGTTCAGGCTTTTGCGTAAGTTTGTCTTGCTGTATTCTTTTACATGGTTGTCTTGGCCTTTAAAAATTTGTATGTCTAATTTATATGTCTGTTTTTATACTATGTGAAGCGCTTTGTGACCCTGGTCTGTGAGGGGCGCTATATAAATAAAGTTTACTTACTAAGGGTCACATAGATTTCACACAAAAAACTTGGCCCAGATTGTCGCTACAGGGGTCTGAAGAAAACCCACGTTCAGAAGGGTTAATTTTTTTCAACCGTGCTAGCCCAAATGCGGGTGTAGTACAACGTTCAGTTCAGCTGGTGGCGCTAATACCATAACTTCAGCGACTACCTTGAGATCCGAGTTAAGTTTCCGTTTCCCTTCCTGTTTGAGTTGGTAGAGCATTGGCCTTTGAGCCTGAAGGGGCGCGGGGCGGGTCCACCACGAGACCTCCACCGACTCCCACTGATGTCTGCCGTCGCTGGGTCCTCGGGAGTTCTGTGGGCGCAGCAGGAAGACGTAAAGTGACGCACAAAATCACGTCCGCACCACACCTCACCCCCCACTCCCCACCACCTGCCCGACTGACCCTCCTCATCCGGGCTTAATAACCGTGCTCAGGACCAGTTGCCGCGGTCAGTTGCCTAAAGCCCGGATCTAAACGCAATCTGGGCCTAGGCTCACTTAGTTTGTGCATGTGACCGCAGCCTAATTCTGGCTCTAAAACAGTTTGTGTTTTTGGCCTCTGTCACATCTTTAGATCAGCTTTTCCGGACAGAGAGACCAGATAAAGAGAGAGACTGGCGTGAGAGAGACCAGATAAAGAGTGAGACTGGCGTGAGAGAGACCAGATAAAGAGACTGGCGTGAGATAGACCAGATAAAGAGACTGACGTGAGAGAGACCAGATAAAGAGTGAGACTGGCGTGAGAGAGACCAGATAAAGAGTGAGACTGGCGTGAGAGAGACCAGATAAAGAGTGAGACTGGCGTGAGAGAGACCAGATAAAGAGTGAGACTGGCGTGAGAGAGACCAGATAAAGAGTGAGACTGGCGTGAGAGAGACCAGATAAAGAGACTGGCGTGAGATAGACCAGATAAAGAGTGAGACTGGCGTGAGAGAGACCAGATAAAGAGACTGGCGTGAGATAGACCAGATAAAGAGGCTGACGTGAGAGAGACCAGATAAAGAGTGAGACTGGTGTGAGAGAGACCAGATAAAGAGACTGGCGTGAGAGAGACCAGATAAAGAGACTGGCGTGAGATAGACCAGATAAAGAGACTGACGTGAGAGAGACCAGATAAAGAGTGAGACTGGCGTGAGAGAGACCAGATAAAGAGACTGGCGTGAGAGAGACCAGATAAAGAGACTGGCGTGAGAGAGACCAGATAAAGAGACTGGCGTGAGATAGACCAGATAAAGAGTGAGACTGGCGTGAGATAGACCAGATAAAGAGTGAGACTGGCGTGAGAGAGACCAGATAAAGAGACTGGCGTGAGATAGACCAGATAAAAAGGCTGGCGTGAGAGAGACCAGATAAAGAGTGAGACTGGTGTGAGAGAGACCAGATAAAGAGTGAGACTGGTGTGAGAGAGACCAGATAAAGAGACTGGCGTGAGAGAGACCAGATAAAGTGAGACTGCGTGAGAGAGACCAGATAAAGAGACTGGCGTGAGATAGACCAGATAAAGAGGCTGGCGTGAGAGAGACCAGATAAAGAGTGAGACTGGTGTGAGAGAGACCAGATAAAGAGACTGGCGTGAGAGAGACCAGATAAAGAGACTGGCGTGAGATAGACCAGATAAAGAGGCTGGCGTGAGAGAGACCAGATAAAGAGTGAGACTGGTGTGAGAGAGACCAGATAAAGAGACTGGGGTGAGAGAGACCAGATAAAG